TCCAATATACATCAAGTGCACATCCCACTCTGCCTGTTGCTGTGTGCCCCATACAAAACACAACAAAAGCATTGTTCAGTTAAGTTGAAATGAATATTTAGCTTGGGCTGCATCTTTTCGTGCCTGGCTGCCTGGCCCTCAGTCCTGCCCAACGCTGCTCACCAGGACCCCACTACCCTGTTGTCTGCCAGCTTTGATGAGAGTGGATCACAGAATAAACCTCAGATTTTAAACATTGCTCCTACAAAACTCCCTCACAAGGTTTGTCTCACTAGCAAGGGCTGTACAATTTAACTGGGTAGCTTTGATCGTTGTATGATCATACGCAAGAGGTTTGCTTCTCTTCCACCGGGCTAAGCAAGAAGAAATACTACAGTACTAAGAGTGCTGTTCACACCGTCATGAGAATTGGTTGTTGGTCGAGGGGACTCCATACCACACCGGGCAGCAGCACACGGGCGAGCCGGTTGCAGGCACTCACCTCCTGGGAGGAGTTTGGCTCCATGTGCAGTGGGATCCTCAGCTGCGCCACTTCCCCAGATGAAAAGGACAGCTTTGCACGGGGGATTTATTGCACATTCCTGGTCGCACGAGGGAGACTGCATCCAGGTAGCTGCCTCTCTTGGTTTCCCTTTAATCACTGCAGGGTGGGAACCGGAGCCAGCCTGGAGGGATAAAAGATCTCTGAGATGAAGAAGCACAATGGAGTGGAGTTAATGTCAATCGGTTTACTGCTGTAAGCAAATCACTACCACATCTCTCTGTACAGCATGTTACAATTTACAACTCGTAGTTAAATGAGTCAGAGCTGTTGCTTCTGGTTCTGCCTCCAGCTTCTCCTGCCACAGAACTGGACAGACAATGGGTCCGTGTTGCAGAAGGGGCCTCGGGCCAGCCCCAAGGAGCTGTGTGTTGCAATGCCCATTATCGCAATGCCTCATTTTTTAGGCTTCCTGCTGTGGAACAGATTGCTCAGGCCAGAGACAGACACCACTGTGCTTCACATAAGGTGTGGAGTGAGTTAAAAGCTAATGAAAGGAAATTTCAAGAATCCACATACTTCCTGAGTTAGAATATATATATATATTGTAATATATATATATAGTGGGGCCCAGCACTATGATAGGCAGGAAGAGGACTGCCACAGACTTCCTTGTAGTTCAGTGCCTAAGTCACATCAGCCTGCTTTTATGGCGAACTAGAGAGGGACAGAACCACCTCATTGCATCTAGGAGCTCATCGGGTACAGTAAATTATATGCCAAGTAGTGAGAGATGTACTCACCAGTCACCACTCTACTGGATTTAATTTAGATGGCCCCACGGTTCTGAGGCATGTCCTGGTCTCGAGGCTACTTATGCAGCTGCTCTTTCTTGCTCTCTCTTGCCACCTCTGTGTCTAATATAAAATCAAGTGTATCATTAGAAGAGATGAAGAGCAGTTACCTCTGAAGCCCTAATAAGCTGGTGATTGGTATTTTCACTTTGCATACAGAATACCTGAATTCAGCTGTTTTCTTAAAATCAGACAGTACTGAGGAGTTAGTGCCAAGCATCTCGTTTCCTTGTGAAGGTGTCCAGGTATTCAGTCAGTTTATTCAACAGACCTTTCACTTCCCAGATTTTTAGGAAGAAGGTCTGATTCAGGAGACTCACACAAGACGATGAGCCTGGACTTAAGCGTACTAGCACCACTGAGAAGCAGGCTCACCCCCTCCTCTTCTCTTGGCCTTTACAATGGGTAAGTTAGTCAGCTTCCCTGTTTTGCCTCTGATTTCTGAAGGTTGTGTTCTCGGCACAATCCTGAGCAGCAGGAGGCTGCTGCTGCTGCTGTGCCTAACTGACTTGCTGAATTTAGACTGCCCTAACTTTGGAAACCATGCTTTTAAGCTCCCAATTCACTTGAGCACTACGGAAAACATTCGATAAAGCATTCAACCGGGCACCGATTCGTGTTTCGAGTGAAAGAGCGAATTCAGAAAGAAACCCCGAAAACACCAGAAATTCAGAGCAGGCGACAAATCCACGATTTAACCAGATTTGCGCAGCGGGTTTTCCCGGTAGCCACCTTCTCTGTAGCTAAAACTGAAGGAGAGTCTTTCCTTGCTTGTTAGCCGCTCAGCCCGCGCTGCGTGCCCCTCTACCCCTCTGTCACAGCCGGATTCCGCGGCGTTCCCTGTCGGGGCTCCCGAGCCCGCACGGAGCCTGTGCCAAGCAGATGCGCCCGGGGGCTGCCCGCGTATACGGGTAACGGAGCCGTGCCCGTCCTTCGTGGGAGTAAGAGTAGAAGAACGGCTTCTCTTTTATTTTGTGTGCGTTTCTGCGCGTTTTCTCCCTCTCCGCGCTCTGGCTACTGTGAGCTTTATTTCCTACGCTCCGTGGGAAGTGTCGCACTTCAAGGCGCTATCGCTTTCCCACGGCAGAGTCTGCCTCGGCTGTGAGTCCGCTGAGGGACGTGGATGTGCTCGGGGCCCCTCTGCTTTCTCTCGTCTGTCTGCCGAGGCTCTCTAGGAGTGCATGTGGAGATATGCATGGAGGGGAGGGGGGTACCGGCGTGGCTGGGGAGGGGTGGCGGGGGAGAGGGGAGTTATTAGGAAACTTTGCTTTGGCTACTCTCTATCCTTGGGGCTGCGTGGCGCCAGCACCCTCAAGTTGAAAGGAAAACAGCCATTCTCACTTCCAACTGCCCACTGAGATCCTTAAGGCGACAAAGACACAAAAGTGAGTTTTATTTGCTGGTAAGCCAGAGGCAAGAAAAAAGAAAAGCCAATTCCCCCTTAAAAAGAGCCGACAAATCCTTTTTGCTCTTTTGTGTGAGCTTTTCCTATTCACATGGAGCGTTCATCCGTGTGATTCCCAACTTATTGTCATTACTTAGTTATTAATTGTTCTCATCTGGGTTTAATTGAGCAACCAAGGACTTTAGCCCAAGGGTCAGGGGGAAAACTTAAAGCAAAGACTTGTTCAATAGGAATCCTGCGCTTCGAATATCCATCCCGAGTTGACAT